CAAACCTCTCCTCCATAGGTCAGCCCTGCTGCAGGGACCCTTCGCTCTGATCCCACCAAACCTCTTCCCTGCAGGTTGGTCAGCCCTGCTGTGGGAACCCTTTGCTGGAATCCCCCAAACCTCTCCCCCATAGGTTGGTCAGCCCTGCTGCAGGGACCCTTCGCTCGGATCCCACCAAACCTCTCCCCTCCAGTTTGGAGCAGCCCTGCTGCGGGAACCCTTCGCTGGATCCCCCAAACCTCTCCCCCATAGGTCAGCCCTGCTGTGGGGACCCTTCACTGGATCCCCCAAACCTCTCCTCCATAGGTCAGCCCTGCTGCAGGGACCCTTCGCTGGATCCCCAAACCTCTCCTCCATAGGTCAGCCCTGCTGCAGGGACCCTTCGCTCTGATCCCACCAAACCTCTCCCCTGCAGGTTGGTCAGCCCTGCTGCGGGAACCCTTTGCTGGAACCCCCAAACCTCTCCCCTCCAGTTTGGAGCAGCCCTGCTGTGGGAACCCTTTGCTGGAATCCCCAAACCTCTCCTCCATAGGTCAGCCCTGCTGTGGGAACCCTTCGCTGGAACCCCACTGAACCTCTCCCTCATAGGTCAGCCCTGCTGCAGGGACCCTTCGCTCAGATCCCACCAAACCTCTCCTCCATAGGTTGGGGCAGCACTGCCACGGGGACCCTTTGCTGGATCCCCCAAACCTCTCCCCTGCAGGCTGGTCAGCCCTGCCATGGGGACCCTTTGCTGGATCCCACCGAAGCTCTCCCCGCCATCCGGACGGCACAGACCTGCTTGGAGGTGGCTCCTCATCAGCTGCGTCTGCGTCCCCTCGCCGCAGTCGAAGAGCCAGCAGTGCCCGTCCCGGCGCAGCAGCAGCGCCGCGGCGCCGCGGGCCGGGCACGGGAAGGCAGAGCCCGTGCCCAGGAAGGTGAGCTCCAGGGACATCCCGGCACTGCCACCTGCAACACACACCAGGGCTGCGGGACGGGACGCTGCAGGGCACGGCTGGAGCTGGGCCAGGAGCGGCAGCCTGGATTTGGGAAAGGTTCTGCCCCAGAGGGGCTGGCACTGCCCCGAGGCTGCCAGAGCTCCAGGAGCCTTTGGACAGCGCTGCCAGGGATGCACAGGGTGGGATTGTTGGGATGTCTGTGCAGGGCCATGGAATG